TTTGAATATGATATATTTTGATTTCCAAAATTTATATAAATGATTTTTTGATTTTGAGCCTCTCTGTGTAATATATAAAATATATTCTGTTTTGTCTTTTTGACAAGGTGCAAAAACCTTTTTTTTTAGGTTTTCTAAATCGTTAATAGGTTTACTTAATTAATTCAATAATAATTTTCTAAAGTAATATACGAAATTTTCCAGTCCCAGATAGATTTACCACCTTTTTAAACAATTTACATGGTTTTCGGACAAGTTACAACAATTTTGGACAGATTACATAATTTTTAGATAGCTCACAATGTTTTCAGATAATTTAAAACGTTTTCAGACGATTTACGGCGTTTTCAGACAAATTACAATAATTTCAGCCAGAGAACAACTTTTTGAAACAATTTACATTGTCAAAGGATTTATTGCAACATTTTCAGATAATATTCAAACATTTTGAGCAATTTGCATTTTCAGATAAGTTGCAACACTTTCATGCTAGTTGCAACATTTTTAGACAAGTTGCAGCACTTTCAGACGATTTGCAACACTTTGAGACGAGTTGCCACGCTTTGAGGCGAGTTGCAATGCTTTGAGACGAGTTGCAACACTTTGAGATGAGTTGCAGCACTTTGAGACGAGTTGCAACACTTTGAGACGAGTTGCAACACTTTGAGACGAGTTGCAGCACTTTGAGACGAGTTGCAACACTTTGAGACGAGTCGAAACACTTTGAGACGAGTTGTAAATCTTTCAGACGAGTTGCAACACTTTTAGGCGAGTTGCAACACTTTGAGACGAGTTGCATCATTTTCAGACGATTTACCACACTTTCAGACAATTTGCAATGCTATCAAAAACTGCTAACAAAATTTTCACAACAATTTACAAATTTTTCAACAATTTTTAGAACAATTTACCAAATTTTCAAAGATCTTGCAAAATATTTATATAAAACATTTTTTAGACGGCTCACAACATTTTTGAGACAACCTGCAACCTTTATAGACGGCTCACAATATTTTTAGACAACTTGCAAAATTTTTTAAGACAGACAACTTGCAATGCTATCAACTGCTTTCAATATTTTCTCAACAATTTACAACATTTTCAAACTTATTGCAACATTTTTCATCAATTTTTATAACAATTTATCAAAATTTCTAAAAGCTTACAAAATTTTTAAATTTACTGCAGAATTTTTAGGTATAAGATTTACAACATTTTTCGATAAGCTCCAACATTTTCAAACAGGTTACAAAATTTTCAGACAATTCAAAAAATTTTTCAAATAATTTACAACACTTTCAAACAACTTATAACATTTTCAGGCGAGTTACAACACCACCAAACTGCTTACAAAATTTTCAGACAAGTTACAACACTATCAAACTGCTTACACAATTTTCAAACAACTTGCATAGTTTACAAACAATGTATAACAAAATTTTCGAACATTTTACAACATTTTCAGACAGGTTATAACAAACATTTTCAGACAAGTTACAACATTTTCAAACAGGCTACAACACTATCAAACTGCTGACAAAATTTTCGCATTATTTTCAAACAACTTGCCACGTTTTCAAACAATGTACAATCAAATTTTTCGACGTTTTACAAGACTTTCAGATAAGTTACAACATTTTCAAACAGGTTACAACACTATCAAACTGCTTACAATATTTTCAAACAATTTACAACAGAATTTTCAGACATTTTACAACATTTTCTAACAACTTGCCACATTATCAAACTGCTTACAACATTCTTAGACAAGTTACAATATTTTTAGACAGGTTACCAAATTTTCAAAGAGCTCGCAACATTTTTAAATTTACTGTAAATTTTTTTAGACATTTTACGACATTTTCAAATATTTACAACAGTAATTTTCAGACAAGTTACAACATTTTCAGACAAGTTAGAACATTTTTAGACATCTTACAACATTTTTAGACTTGTTACAACCTTTTCAGACACGTTACCACGTTTTCAGACAAGTTAGAACATTTTTAGACACCTTACAACTTTTTCAAACATTTACAACAGAAATTTTCAGACAAGTTACAATATTTTTAAACAATTTACAGTTTCAAACAGCAAGTTAGAACAGTTTCACGCAAGTTACAACATTTTCAAACCAGTTGCAACACTTTCAAAGGAGTTATAACATTTTCAGATGAGTTATAACACCATCAAACTGCTTAAAACATTTTCAGACTGGTTGCAACATTTTCAAACAATTAACTACCAAATTTTCAAACAATTAACTGTCAAATTTTCAGAAATTTTATAAAAATTTTCAGCAATTTATATTTTCAGATAATTTATTACAAAATTTTTAACAATTTATATTGTCAAACAATTTATTACAAAATATTCAGATATTTTACTTCAAACTTTTTACAAAATTTTCACAACAATTTTTAGAACAACTTACCAAATTTTTAAAGAGCTTGCAACATTTTTAAATTTACTGCAAAAATTTTTAGAGATTTTCCAACATTTACAACAGTAATTTTCAGACAAGTTAATACATTTTTATACCATTTACAGTTACAAACAGCTTGTAACATTTTTAGACAGGTTACAAAAATTTTCAGCAATTTACATTTTTAAACAATTTACAACATTTTCAGACAATTTACAGCATGCCGCACTATGAAACTGCTTACAAAATTTTCAGACAAGTTACAAGTTACATTTGCATATAAGGTACAACAAAATTTTCAGGCATCTTACAACCTTTTCAGACAAGTAACAACACTATCAAACTGTTTACAAAATTTTCAGACAAGTTACAACATTAGCTGGCAGTTTATAAAAATTTTCAGCAATTAACATGTTTAAACAATTTACTACAAAATTTTCAGTCAAGTTACAACATTTTCAGACAATTTATAAAGTTTTTGAGCATTGTACTTTTCAAAAAATTTACTACAAAATTTTCAGACAAGTTACAATATCTTCTGATAGTTGTAACTTTTTCAGACAACTTTTTATTTCGATTACTAAAAAGATTACAATTTGAACTGCTGCAAAATAAATCATTTAACAAAACCAAACCAGTACTCAAAAATCATCTTTATTATAAAAAAAATAAATACTTCTACAAACCAAAATTAATCTACAAAATTACAAACAAATCACAACACCTTTCAATAAGGTCTATTACGATCCCCATAAAACTTATTACCATGGGGATTCCTTCTATAATAACCACCAAAACCACCACCGCCGCCGCCTCTGTGATTATTATAATTATCGCCTTGATAATTATTCTGTCTATGATAAACACCTCCACCACCGTCTCTATTATTATTATATCTTCCACCACCTCCTCGGTGTCTGAAATAGCCCCTGCCTCTGCCTCCTCGATGGTTGTCGTATGTCCTTTTCTGAGACCCTTGCCATGGGTCGACTATGGGGGGCACACTTGGTTTCTTTTCGAGATAGGTTTTGAATTCGGGATCATTTTCTGTGTATCTGTCTGCAAATTCTTGCTCACATTCGGCTAGGAAGGCTCTGTGCTCTTCTGTTAGGTTGTTGATTTTGCGATGAGGATCCACCATGGTAAATAGATAGCTGGGGGTAGAAATTTGTGTCAAAAGATGTATTGTTAATGTTGTTTTTTTATTTTTAGTTCACTTTTGACTTCTAGAGCTTCTTAGAAAGTAAATTCTACTGACAAGGGAAAAAGGGACATGGAGCAACTGAGTTTACTATTTGTTTGTCTATTTTTCATAAACTGAAGGAACAATTACTTTACAAATAAAGTACTTTTATAATTAACTGAAGGAATTTCTTGTTCACAGGTAAATTATAATGTTAAACAGATAATAATTTCATATTTCTTTTACTACTTTCTGTCAAAACCTGTTTTAACACTTTTGAGGTTAGGATTTGACAAAATGCAATAAAACTTTTACCAAGCCATTTATATAAATAAAAATTAACTCTTATATGTTTCGAAACGCAATACTGATTCAATATAATACAAATAGAATACAATTTTATAATATTATTTACAGATTTTCCATAAAATATGTTTTCTACACTTTTGAGGTTAAGACTCAACAAAATGTAAAAATTTTGTAACTGTAGTCATTTAGATATATAAAAATTATACTTACGTTTTCTAGAATGTGATATAAATAGTTTTCAAATGTAGATTCAATAAAACACTGTGTAATTTTAAGTAAATATTAACTTGAATACGATTTTGCAATTAAATTTCTCTTCATTGTTGAAATGTCAAACGGCCATTTTGGTTTTTAGTTCGAGTTTACGTTTGTCGTTGAAAGATGGCAGCACCGTTTCGCGCTTAATTTAAATTTATTGCTTTTATAAATGAAAAATTTGAATAATTTATACAGGAATTATAGTGAATAAAATTTTAACTAGTTGTTAACAAGTAATTACGAAGAAATGACGGCCGATATTGACAAAAAACTAATCTGAACTAATATCTTTCAAACAATTTTTGAATTATCAAAATCGGTTCAGGATTCCTGATGATAACTTGTTTGAAAGATTTTACACTTTTCCGCTCCGATGTAATATATGAGCCGTTTTTGAAGTAAAACTTTTTAGGCGTTGTTTTACATAATCCACTATGTGAACGAATATTGTAGAAGTTATTTATCAGCAATTACTTCATTTCTCTAATGAAGGTTCTAGTCTGAATGCTAATTACAATGACAAACCGATCATGTCGTATTTGAAGCATGACTTTAATTACATTATTGTTTTTAAATATTATCCACATTTTTTAATGCTATTATAAATATATAATTTATAATTTATCATTATATAAATGTGTATAATGGTTGACGACACTAATAAATGTGTGCATCACGAATGTTACCACCATATTACTCTTCAACATTATTCAAAATTGTTATATGATGTTATTTATTTTTAACTTAAATGCCATTTTGTACAGTAGCAAATTAGTTTTACTTCAATCGCGTATGAACCTTACGCGCACTCTTTTTTTTAATATAGAAACTAGATAAAATTCACTAAAATTTCATACAATTAATTTCCGCGTAGGATAATTTGTAGTAATGGCAAAAAAATTGGAAAAGAAAATTTTTGGATATTTTTACGTTCCAACAGAATCTGAACCTTACAATTAGGAAAAATGGATGTGTCTGTGTGACAATTTCGAGCGCACGGATCTACCGATTTTGAATGATTCAAAAAGCATTCGATTTCTGTTGATGAATTTAACAAACCAGAATTTCTGGCTATAAACCTTCAGGAAATTTATAATAATAACTGAAAAGAATGCATATAATTACGGAGGTTACTTTGCATAATTGTGTTGTCTATTTAATCAAAATTATTTTATTATTAACTTCCCTTAGGGTAGTTATAGTAATGGGCCGAAAATCAAAAATGAAAATTTTTGCATTTATCGACGTTTTTGAAGGTTTCTGAACATTTTGGCATATCTCAGTTTAGACTGTGACTATACGGGAGCACTTTTTCAATTTTGTGGAAATTAGGCAACTATTTTTCTGAAATTGAATTCGAAATGAAATGACGATTGTTAATGTTCCGGAGATAAATTGACTTATGATTTGCATTGGATTTGCTCAGATATAACAAGATAGCAAAAATAATGTAAGTTACTGAAAGTATTTGTAATAATATATTTGAAAACGTTTCAAATTTCTCAAATATTTCATTACGGTACGGAAAGTTCCAGCAATTTGCCTTAAGGCACGATGCCACACACCACTAGTTTTTTTATTTATTTATTATACTTCAATGTGTTAATTAATTGTCAATTGGAATAAATAAAAATGTGTCGTTGCCGTTGCCCCCTGCATAGAAATGATTTGATTTGAAGACACGTTGTTCGTAGTTCAAAGACATTTCCAAAAATATTCTCGAGCAACAAGTAAAGTTGAATAGCCCCCATAGACGGGGCGACGGTGGAAACAAAAACGTAGTGAAAAAATGAGGTTCAAACGCGATTGAAGTAATACTTTTTTGCTATCGTACGAGATGGCATTTAAGTTAAAAATAAATACATCATATAACAATTTTGAATAATGTTTATTAGTAATGTGGTAACACTCTTGTGATGCACACATTTATATAATGATACGTTATAAATTATATATTTATAATAGCATTCAAAATATGTGTAGTATTTGAAAACAATAATGTAATTAAAGTCATACTTCAAATACGACATGATCGGTTTGTCATTGTAATTAGCATTTAGAAATGAACCTTCAATAGAGTAATGAAGTAATTGCTGATTAATAACTTCTAAATATTCGTTCACACAGTGGATTATGTTAAACAACGCCTAAACAAATATTGTTTTCGCAATTTCACTCATCGTGTAATAATTGTGTTTGAAGAACTTCATGTAATTAAAATTAACATACATTCATTTACTGCTTGTATTTTTTTAGTTTTTCGCAGGCTATATAATTTCATTCTTCGAACAGCTGTAATATCTGTCTTGTCTAAAAATTATTTTCCGTTTTAATAACTTCAAAGATTTATAGAAACTACGAATAATATAGAAATAATTTCTAATCAATAAACTTACGTTTAGTACACGGCACAAACGTTTAATTTGTTATATTATTTTCAAGAAACAGAGTAAAATATTCTTCTGATTCAGGCATTTTTCATTAAATCAAGATTTGTACTACGATGTAATTTTAAAATGTTTATTTATCTATACCGTTTGCTTGTTGATATCGGTACGAATATAACGTCGATGCCGGTATGCATACAACGACAGATCTCTATTCACATATACGACGACTAATCACAATCGATCCCTATTGAAATGATTTCATCGAGGGCGAATGATAAACAGTTCGGGCGTAACGCACTACTGTTGCATTTGTACGGATTTACACCCTAGTCGCGTCTAAAGAAGTTTTACTTCAAAAATAATATAAATATACTACCTAGGATATAAATCTGTTTAAATACTAGATGTAAATGGCATTAAGACTGTTGCCCAGAATTTTTAAAAAGTGAAATTTTTACATTGCTAACTTCCGAAATAGAAACTTATGTTTTCATCAAAAAATTCGATTCGCTAATTTTAGGTTTTTTCGACGTTTCAAGCCATTCTGAATCGAACGAGACGAACATTTAAGGAAAAAGTATGTGTGTGCGTGTGCGTGTGCGTGTGCGTGTGCGTGAACAGATTTTTTGCCGTAAATCGACGATTTCTTAAAAAAGCCTGAACCGATTTCAGATATTTAAAAACCATTTGATGTATCTCAATGAGGACTATCGTCTGTCAGTTTTGTGAGACGATCTGCCGAGCCGTTTCTTTGTAATTTGGTAAAAAGTGTTAAATATTTCGTCCACATTTAAGCTCATACTACCGAATCTATTTTAAAAAAATAAAAAACTGTTTGAAAGATATTAGTTTGGAATGATACTGATTAGTTTTAGGTGAAAATCTACCTATACGTTTTTTGTAATTAACTGTTGAAAAAAAATTAAGCCGATTTTTATGGAACTTTCTTTGGCGATGTATATCATCATGGTCTTATAGAACTTACTGAATCATTACGGCCTTAGGACAAGTAGTTTAAATTTAAAAATTCATCAAAGTTTGGGAAAATGAATAGTTTTTTTTGGCGTTTGTTAAATGTATAATTAGAAGATTTACTTGGTATAACGATAGAGTACTTGGTCTTAATGAACATACTAAACCATCATAGTCCTACGGAAAGTGGTTCAATTATAAAAATTGTTGATTTTTGAAAATTTGCTTTTAGAAAATACTCCGAGTTAATGTGTTCGTTCGTTCGTTTTAAATGTGTGTAATAAATCCACTCGGAATACTTTTAATCACTCATAAATTAATTTGTTTATTATTGATTAAGTCGATTATCAACACATATCGGGAAGTTCATGTAACTTGCCTTAAGGCAAAATACCAATACCAACTACATAGTTTGTTTTTATGTTTCATAATAGTATATCGATGCTTTTCTGACGCAACCTCGTATCTCAGAAACTACTACTTTTCAGGAGAGACAAAAAACGTTTTATAACGAATTTTTGAACTGCTGTTAACCATTTTTTTTATAAATTTTAAAAATATTCAATCTTGTGACAATTATTTGAGACAAGTATGATATTACAAACAATTAATCATTATTTTTTCTTCAATTCTTTGAGATACGTGTTTGTCGCACGGAAAAAAATGTAACATACGTGGTTGCGTCATGCTGTTTTCAAATAAGAGTACATAAATAACTTTCTTCAATTGTTTTATTTTGAGAATCGATCAACTTTTTAAATAATTCTTAATAAAAAAAACAAACATTATTAAACTTGTGGTATATGTTAGTTTATAATTACGACAATATAGTATCTGGCCATAGTTTAGGTATTTCAATATCTAGGATATTTAACTTTTTCATGGATTTATAATTTACTACTTTGTGATTATCATTTTTATTGTTACTTTTATTATTTTTTGTTATTATTTCTTTATTTAATGATTTTTTATCTGCGGATGACACATTATCTAACTCTAAAAAATACAAAATTTAATTTCATTTATCGTCAGTAAGAATTGATAATTGTTTAATTTTTGTAGCTTACTGTGATATTTGTTCTCAACATAATAAAAATATAACTAGTGGTGCATGGCATCGTGCCTTTAAGCAAATTGGTGGAACTTCCCGTTCCGTAATTAAATAGAATCGAGGAATATTAAATGATTACAAATAGATTATTGTAAGTACTATAACTTTTGTTATTTGTATTTGAATGACAAAATATAAGAATAAACTGGACAACGACGTTTATATATGTTTACATAAAAAGTAAATAAAAGTAAAAAAAAACATATCTCATATATATTTCTGAGAATTATATAAACTAATTTGCAAATTTAAATTTATTTATTTGAAGTATATAAGAGAGTTTTAGAATTTTAGCTAGCATTAAAATTAAAATCCGAATCATTTTTCATATTTAAACAAAGAAATCATTGTAAATTTAAAAAAATGGACAAAAAAAATCTGCTTTCCTAAACTAATCGAATCTTTATACTGCAAAATGTTCATTGAATCATTCGAATCGGAAGCTTTGAAACGACTGGGCCTGTCTTTTCCAGAAACTAATCACCACGTCATCAATAAAAATTGAATGTTTTTAAATAATTCAAATCGGATGCTCTGTTTTCTCAATAGGAAACGATTGTTTTTTGAATGTTTCAAATCGGTTGATCTGTGCTCCCGAAAACGTGGACAG